TACTTGGCAAAACTTGCATTGAAACCATGGGGACTATTTATGAAGAGACTGCAACATCATTCTTAGTGTCATTTTGGTACCAGACAGCATCCTCCTACGCTTTGAAGTTGATCACATTTTCTTATGATGAAAAATTTCACAAGGTTTCCCCGCCTGACAGAATGTCTGGGTTGATAGCTGTGGCTGAAAACACAACCATGTCTTACAGTGCCTTTTAAACTGCCTTTGTAAAACAGTTGACAAATAGCTTCAAACACTTTTCTAGGCTTAAATATTTCTGAAGTATGACAAAACAGAGTGAGTCAGAGTAGAGGAGTAAGCCAGTTGGGAAGTTCCAGGCAGAAATATTTACTGCTGTTAGTGATGTCATCTATTCAGCCTTCGAATAAGCAAAATATTTTTTATTTTGCAGCAGCTTCATTACTAACACACAGCATATTATTTTAAATTCCTGACTATCAGCAACATGAGAACTTGCTGTGATTTCCATGGAGCAGTTAAAGCACTCCCAAGCTGCATATACAGTGCCAAGAAGCCTGGGTGGTCCTCAGTCCATGAAGCTATCTCCTGGACTGGTTTATCTCCAAAGCACACAAAACCAGATGTGTTCCCTGTGGGAGGTCTTCAGGCATTTGGCAACACTACTCAGCCTTCATCATGTTGTATTTCTCAGTGATGTCCATGGAGTTTTTCCTGAGTCAGAGTGAATAAAACTGCTTGACAAAACCCTGCCAGCACAAAGTAGCTGATGTGATTGTGTCATGGATGTGCTGTGTATGATGGCAGAAATGAGGCAAACTGAAGTTGACATGGGTTACTGCCAGGCTGGTATTTATTTCTATAGAAAGAAATGAGACATTAAGAAGGGGAGAGAAACATCTGACCTACACAGAGAACCAAGGACACCTGACTTCCAGCCTTGGTCCTGACGGTGAGGACCTGCATCACTGTCAGCCGGGTCATCACTGTCACTGCCTGCATCCCTCACTCTACACAACCCATCCCATCTGGCTGTTAAACTTACTACACCAAGATTTCTAGGAATCTGCTGGACTTCTAGATGAAGGCACAACTATCTTTACTTTCAGCAGTGACTATAATGAATACCCAATTAAAATGTATTTCTGCTATTACCCATACTTGGAGGGTTTGAAGACAGCAGCAACAAAACCGTCAGATCTGTGATTTGTAAAAATTCTAAAATATATCTCAAATATACATTTCATCTTACTATAGATATAAATTGTATAAAGATTTTTGAACTACATACAACACATAAATGTAAACATATATGTAGCTTCCACAGCAGCAGGTGTAACAGGAAAATTAATTTAAGGTGACAATAATACTCATAGAAATGATTTAGGCTACTGTTCTCTCATGTTGAAATTATTAAATTCTAATTTGCCACAATAAACCAAATATTATTATAGTTCTGAATATCTGTGTTTTATATACAACCACAACTTACTGTGGATTTCAGTAATAGCTTTTTTTTAAGATACAGAGAGATGTAGAGCTTTAGCTGATGTTGTGTTGAGGAATACAAAAAGCCATGTTTTGATTTCATGCTAAATAATTCAACAGATTTGTCTCGGTATAACAATCATCTTAATATGGACACCACTGAAGTTCAGATGAAAGTCACACTGAAGTTTCACTGTGAGACTGCAAAAAATCAAAAGTAACTAGGCAACTCTTGCTGTGAATCATCACAAGGGAATTTTTTTTGGGGGGGTGGTTTGTCTTTCAAATTTGTCACTATTTGGCTTATAAAGATTTCCATGTTACATTGCTATGAAACATTTCATAAATGCTGAATTAAGGTAAACATTTTTGTTGACTTTCCATAGGCAGGATCAAGCCTTGCATCATGAATGTAACTGGTCAGGCTTTGAATTTGGAATGCTTAGCAGTGAATGCTTAGCAGCAATGGAAATGAAAGCATGACTAGAAAAAACTCCTCCAAAGTCACGTATCAATGCTGAAAGCTCCTGAAGGAAAATAGGAACTGTCATTGCAGTTGATATGATCAAATTTATTGAGTGAATCAGAATTCCAGAAGACAATTGAGTTCTCCCACTCACTTTCACAAGTCCCAGATTTCTCATATTATCGGAAAAATGTTTGAATAAACAAAATAACTAACAGCTGTGGGTTTCAACCATTTTGAATCCTTGATTAATGCAGACTAGGGATTGTGTTCATTTTATGTAGTGTTCATTGTATCAGATGGGCTCTGGATTGAATCTATGTACAGTTTAAGGCTTCACAGGATTCTGCTCTTCTTTAGAAGGATGAGCATTTCTGTATTTTTTTTTTTTGCAGTTTTCTTCTATAGCTTTCCCATAGTCCCATTTTGTGACTAAAATCAGTTATTTATCAGGACAATCAGACATTGCTAGTGCCGGCAATGATTCACCTCATCCACTAGGGAGGACTAGTGTTCCCTGGAGATCCCTTCCAGCCAACTCTGTATGTTGAAACAGGCAGCCAGCTACTAACTCCAACCACAGCTGTTGGCATTTCTTATATTTTATGAGTGCTTGCAGCATGGACTATGGACATACTGTGTATACAGTATGGAATGACTATGTGCAATAGGTTTATGGATGTACATGACTTAGTTTCTAACCTAACACCACCCTCATACACAACCGTGCTTTGTTTTTATGAGACCTGGATCACTTTTCTTACTTCTTACTTCTTGACTTACTAGAGTTAAGTCACAGGGCCTTGACATATGTATTATGTAAAATCTGAAATCCAAACAGTCAGTGAGAATTTATGCCTGATGTAACTCTGCTGCCTTCAGTAGATACAGATGGGAGGACCTTGGATTGACAGCTGTTGGATACAAGCTTGTGAAATGTCAGAGCTGGAAACTTGTTCAGTTCTGTACTAACACTGTCTGAACTGTGTGAGTCAACAACCTTGCAGTTCACTGAAGCAAATTGCTTAGGAAAAAAGTTTTGAGCCTATGTGAGGCAGTTTTTCACAGCAACTCTGTGCAGCAGAGCTGGAAAAAGTAATTTTCTGGTAATCATGAGGTTTTGTAGTTTTTAAATAACTGTGAGATTTTAAAGTAAGCATGTATGATTCTAAGAAAGATGTAAAGGAGCAAAAAGAACCCTCTTTTAAAATTTATTTTCCTTTAGTTTTCCAAATTGTTACTCCTCATAGAGGTGCTTGAAACAGATTGAATTTAAAAGGAATTCAAAGCTATTGTGGCAGCTGCCACTTTTTTTTTTTTCCTAAATAAGTGACTTATTCAAACTTGCTCTCAGCTTCGCTCTCTAAATTACACCTGTTCTTAAAAAAATTCCCTGCATCTTCCAAAGTACTTTCCTGTGAGGCCATATGATACAGCATGTAAATCATAGCTCAGCTGGTGTGGGAAAACCCTTTTGCCAGAGTTTAAAACCTCTGTCTGTTTCAGGTGTGGACTGGAAGAAATAAATGAGAATGCACATGGGAAGCAGCAGAGCAGTCCTGCTTTCTCATGGGCAGTAGGGCAGGGGAGACCTGAGACTGTGCCAGCCTTTGTGATGTGAGTGGGCAGGGTTCTCCTCCCTGTGTGGCCCTCTGCCCCATGCTCCTACATGTGCTCATGTATGGGGTTTGTGTGGCAAGGTTCTGCTAGTGATGGGGTGACAGGGGTGGCTTCTCTGAGAAGGTGCTAGAAACTTCCCCCCATGTCTGGTGGAGCCAATTCCAGCCAGCTCCAAAACAGACCCATGCTGGCCACGGCTGACCCCATCCATGATAGCAATAGCACCTTTGGGATAATGTATCTAGGAAGGAAAAAAGTTACTGCACAGAAGCAATTGCATCCGGAGAAGAGAGGAATGAAAATATGTGAGAGCAGACACCACAGTCAGTGCAGAAGAAAGGGATGGAGGTGCTGCAGGGGCTGGAGCAGAGATTCCCCTGCAGCCTGTGGTCCATGGTGAGGCAGGATGTTCCTGGATGGAGGACCTCATGCCAGAGCAGGTGGATGCCTATAGAACGCTCTGCTGCTGGGCAGGTTCCTGGCAGGATCTGTGGCCCCGTGGAGAAAGGAAGCCCACGCTGGGTTTGCTGGCAGGACTTGTGACCCCACTGGGGAGTGGCGCTGGAGCAGCCTGTTCCTGCAGGGCTGCACCCTGTGGAAGGGACCCTCACTGGAGCAGTTCATGAAGAACTGCAGGCCCTGAGAGGGACTCACGTTGGAGAAGTTCAAAGGACTGTCTCCCGTGGGAGGACCCACACTGGAGCAGGGGAAGGGTGTGAGGAGTCCGTCCCCTGAGGAGGAAGGAGCAGGAGAGACACCATGTGATGAACTGACTGCAGCCTCCATTCCCCAACCTCCTGCGCTGCTGTTGGGGAGGAGGCAGAGTAATTGCGAGCAGCATTGAGCCTAGGAAGAAGGGAGGGGTGGGGAGAAGGTGTCTTTCAATTTTGGTTTCATTTCCCATTACCCTAGTCAGATTTTATTGGCAAGAAATTAAGTTAATTTCCCCAAATCGGTTTTGTTTTGGTCGTGACTGTAACTGCTGAGTGATCTCTCCCTGGCCTTAGGTCGATCAGAGAGCCTTTCGTTGTATTTTCTCTCCTTTGCCCTGCTGATGAAGGCGGAGACAAAGCGGCTGTGATTAACCCCCGGCACCAAGGCGGGGTCAACCCACCAGCGTGCCAGGCTGCGGGCACCCCGAGACCCCTTGTGAGCGTCCCTACAACCTTTCCCGTGCGTGCTGGGGCCTGGGCTCTTACCGGGGATGCCTCCTGAGTGCGGAGACACAGATTCCCTCTGCGGCCCCGACCGGTCATGAGCAGCCGAGCGGCCCGGGGCCGCAGCTCCCTGGCTGCCGCACGGGGGAGGCGGGGAGGCCGCGAAACCCCGCCAGGGCCCCGAGCACCGCTCTCCCCGAAGGCGGAGAGGCAGGGCCGCGGCGGGCGGGGCAAGGCGGCACCAGGGGCAGGGGGCGGCACCGGGGCCTGGAGGCGGAGGCCGGGCGGGCATGGCCGGGAGAGGCGGTGGCACCGACACCTCCCCGCTACCGGGGCCGGGGGTGGGAGCAGAGCGGCGGCGGCGGCAGCAGCCCCAGCCCCAGGATGCGCTGCCCGGCGCCGGTGCCCTGCGGGGGGCAGAGCTCGGGCAGCGGGCGGCGGGGATGGAGGCGGCCCTGCGGCGCTGCTGCTGCTGCTGGCGGCGGCGGCTGGGCGGGCGGCGGTGCGCGCTGGCGGCCGGGCTGCTGGGAGCCGCCGCCGCCGCGCTCGCCCTCTACTCGGCGCTGCCCGAGCCGGCCCGGGCGGAGGGCGAGGTGGTGACCGTGCTGCTGTGGTGGGAGCCCTTCGGCCGCCCGCGGCGCCTGCCCGACTGCCGGCGGCGCTACAACATCAGCGGCTGCCGCCTCAGCGCCGACCGCAGCCGGTTCGGCGAGGCGCAGGCGGTGCTGTTCCACCACCGCGACCTGGCGCGGCACGGCGCCGAGGGGCTGCCCCGAGGGTCCCCGCCGCGGCCCCCGCGCCAGCGCTGGGTGTGGATGAACTTCGAGTCGCCGTCTCACTCGCCCGGGCTGCGGGGGCTCGCCGGGGTCTTCAACTGGACCATGTCCTACCGCCGCGACTCCGACGTGTTCGTGCCCTACGGGTACCTCTACGTCCCGCCGGCGCCCCGAGCCTTCATCCTGCCCCGCAAGACGCGGCTGGTGGCCTGGGTCATCAGCAACTGGAACGAGGAGCACGCCCGGGTGCGCTACTACCGCCAGCTGAAGGAGCACCTGCCCATCGACGTGTACGGGGCGCGGGGGCTGGCGCTGGCCGAAGGCGGCCTGGTGGAGACCGTCTCAGCCTACAAGTTCTACCTGGCCTTCGAGAACTCCCAGCACACCGACTACATCACCGAGAAGCTCTGGAGAAACGCTTTCTCCGCCAGCGCCGTGCCCGTCGTCCTGGGACCCCGCAGGGCCAACTATGAGCGCTTCATTCCCCCCGATTCCTTCATCCACGTGGACGACTTCCCCAGCCCCCGGCTGCTGGCCACCTACCTGAAATTCCTCGATAAAAACAAACCCAACTACAGGCGGTACTTTGCCTGGAGGAAGAAGTACGAAGTCCACGTCACCTCGTTCTGGGATGAGCATTTCTGCAAGGTCTGCGAGGCTGTTAGGACAGCTGGGAATCAAATCAAGACTGTTCAGAATCTGGCCAGCTGGTTTGAAAGCTGATGCTCCGGGCCGGGTGAGGCTTGCCTGGACAGCCTGGGCCAAGTGTCAAGGTGTCAGGAAGGATGATTCTCACAGGGATCATTAGCCCAGGTAGTCGGCATTAGCCACAGGAGACTGGCATCAGTTGGAGAAGCGTACAGATACAGGAAAACAAGCTGTGAAAAGCCTATGAAAGGAAGATTTTTATTAAAGAGAAAATGATGAAGGAACAAAGAGACATTATGCCAGATGATTCCTAAAGAGCAAAGTTAAATTTCCAGAAGTTGTACAGTTACAGAACTTTCAAATTTCTGCACAGCTCAACATAAATATCTGATGCCAAATTCCTCAGCTGTACAGCTGAAACCAATTTTCATGGCTATGACAACTTCCTGGACCGTGAAACTTTGCTCACAGAAGACACATGATCAGTGCTGGTTTTCTGTAATACTAAGACAAAAATGAATGTTTTAAACTGTTTTTTATGCGTGTAGAAGCTATTTACAGGCAAATTCTGAGCCGCAAGTGTTGAATGTAAGAATCTGATGATACAGTAACACCTTTTAGCTTGAAATTGCAGCAGCTAGTTAATAGTGCTTTGAACCAAATAATTGTTCTGTTTAGGAAACAGTGTATGGGGGGGACTGAATCTGAGTGGACAAACAGCTCAGATGATGTAAAGTATTTCTCCTACTACCTGCTGAAACCATAGGCATGTTTATCCTGTATGACAGTAGATTGGAACTTTAAGTACAGGAAAACAAAGACTGTAAGGAAGAAAGTTGGAACACTTCCACCCTCCCTTTATTCAGGAATTAGAAAATGTTTACAGGTACCTGCATGTTTTTCTCTGCAAAATTATTGCCATACAGGAAAATTCAGGGAAAAGCTCAGAATTGCAGGGGTTTTATTGCTGTATTGAATATATATACAGAAAGGCTATCTTTTTTCTCAAGTATGAGTAGACAGTGCTGTTGTGTAGCAACTCTTTCAGTTTTTGGCATGCATTTAAAAAAAATTCTGCTGGAGGGCAGACTAGTCAGAATGTTGTTTTGTTGTTTTTAAAATCATAATTACCAAAAAAATCCCCAAACTCCCAAATCGCTTCCATTCAGAAAGAAAATTACTGTAGAGAATCAGATCTACGTTGTTGGTAAAATACGGATTGTGTGAGGAAAGAATATGAAAAGGGAAGGATTTATTGTTTTCCTTTGGTTTTGAGGTCTTTTTGTGGCTCAGTTTTTTAATCAATACATAGGTTCTTAAGGTAGAACTCCCTTTGCTCAGTGCCTGTCAAGCAATATTTACAGGAGTCATTCCCTTTTAGACTCCCACATTTTGCTGGAGCCATCCTAGTAGTGGATGTTACATGTAATCTTGCTCTGCCAAAGCCAGATCTTTTGGTTACATGTAATCTTGCTCTGCCAAAGCCGGAAAGAAACTTTAGTTACAATTGCACATCCTTGCCAAGCTTAGCCTCCCTGTCTTTTGCAGCTATGAAGTTTGGTGACAAAAAAAAATGGCAACCTACAGGAGAGAGACTTGCCCATGTGAATAAGATATTCATTCTGCTGCTTTTTAGTCCATGGAGTTACTCAGAGACTTCATTCAGAATGAAATCATGAGCACAGAACATGTGGGAAAAGAAGACAGTCAGTTGCAAATAAAAGATGGGCATCAGAACAGGCAACCTTGCTGGCATTTGTGAGTCATATTTAGGTTAGGAAAGGATTAGATTTGATTTAAGCTCTACGGGATGTTGGACAAATGCTTTTAAGATGTATGAACTGGCAGTCTACTGTAATTTATTTCTAGTTAGATGTTCCCCATGATTAGGTAAGCATGGAACCAAGGATTATTGGGAAAAAACTAATAATAATGAAGTTCATTAATAATTTGCACATTTTTACCAGTTCAGATCTTTCAGGCTTCTCCAATTTTTCCCTTCTGCTTTTGTGCAAGGAGGGGGTTGGCTGAAAGTACTTGATGAACCTTTCTGTTGTCACTGCCAGAGTTGCTGTAGAATATTTATTGGGAAGGGAGTGAAAACAATCTATGCAATGTGGGATGTAGTAGGGATGATTCCTAATGCTGCACTTTCACTCCAAGAAGTATAAAGTGATCGTTTAAAGTAAAAGAGTGTTCTTCATGACAACATGGTCATCTGTTTCTCTATCAGTAGTTACTACTGCCATAATACTGGGTTTGATATTTTTAAAACTCCAATATAGGTATAGTATTAACAGTAATACCCAAGTGTCAGGATGATAGGTTCCCTCTTTTCCTTTGAATGTATAGTATTTTTTTTCTGTTCAGTTTTTACCAGAGTTTGCAGAACTGTATACAAAAGCCTAATCTTAAAAGTAAAGAAATTATATTTAAGATTGCAATACTTTTTATCAGTCTGCTGAAACCAGTGCATTTTTTTCAGTCCTCCTAAATTTTGCATTTTGTGAAAGTTTCCAGGCACACAGTTCTTCTGTGTAATCATTAGTAATGCCACATGCAGAAAATCAGGCTGCAGGAGCATGGGAATTTCCAGAGATTGCAAACATTAATTTTCTTCTCCACCTCTCTAAAAAAAGAGTTGAAATCTTTGAGGGAATATTTTTGTAAAATTCAGAAAAGAGCTACAAAGCAATTAAAGCATAGTTTGGGTAAAGTGGTCAAAATTGCACGGTATTTGTAAATTGTGCATTGAGGGTTTTCAAGAACTGTATAGTGAAAACTGCAGATTTGTAGTAATTATTGCAGAGCACTTGCATTGGGAGAAGAGAAGCCTTTTCTAATTTCATCATTCTTACACGGGTGTTGCAAATTTGTGGCGTCCCATTTGGGAGGAAAGTCAGTCCAGGCCTATAGCTGCTGAAGTCAGTATTACAGAATTTCTCTGGTTTTTGGTCATCCACACCATGAGCTAAGAGTGTACTGTTACAGGCAAAGGACTGGCTTTTGTAATGCACTTTGTAGAGCTCTAGTTCAATGATAAATTTAATGTTTACCTGAACAAACTGGTTTGTACATTGAGTACCAAGGCATTGCAGATGATGTATACAATCCAGTTGTAAAAATTAGGGAAAGCTATTTTCTTTTTTTAGTAGAAAAATTTCCTTGAATACATTTTGGAAATTTTTTTATTCCATGCCTTAAAATATTGGGGTGGAGGGAGAGAAAGGAAGATCATTATCTTCTGGGCTTTATAAGAAGATGAATTACCATTACTTTTTGGTTATGATGTAAATGGAATAGAGAATTATGTGATCCCTCAAATTGCATATTGTATCTCAGGGAATTTTATACTGTAAGGTGTCTTGATCTTCATAGAATGAAGTAACTTTATATTAATGATATATATTGACACTCAATAAAATTAAAAGAAGTAGTGCAAAATGACCCTATTTTTTATTCTGTTGTCTGTGTTATGAAAGCTGAAGAAAACTGCTTTTTAAAGAGAATGAATGTCTTCTCATGTTGGTTTAATAAATAAAAGTGGCTGATTGTTCTCAGAGCAGTCAGACTGTCTGAGGTTAGGCATGAAACCTGGTTCTGCCAGGAGAAAAATATTTTCATAGGAAACGCTGTGCTGAGTTATTTTCTATATGAAAAGGTGCATTTATTGAAGTTGGGTGTTGGAAAAACATCATTTCAAACAAAATAAAAAAAAAAAACAAACTTTCTCTTGACCTACAGAGAATTTGAATGTGGTTGGATTCTTTTTGCCCCCCCTAAATTTCAGAAAGAGACTATGTTTGTTTTGGTATTCAGCATGTAGTGCTTTATCTTCCTTTTTAGCTACAGCTTTTTTTCCACGGTTGTTCATGGTTGTTTTCAACTGAACAACAAAAGACCAAGAGCCAAAAGCTGTTTTCCCTAAGCTTCTGTTAACACTGATTGCTGCACAAGTGATGGCTTACCCCTCTCTTTACTCATCTTCTGTACAGCTTAGTGCACACTATTGAGAAAGCATTTCTGGAAATTCCTGCCCAGCCAGGAAGGGGGCAGAGCTACAGACATTGCTTTTCCTTGTATCTTTCTCACATTTAACTTTTCTAAGTAGAGCTTAAACTGACTGCTTGCTTAGTCCTGCCCGAGGGGGGAAACATTTTTTTAGCTCATTTTCCAGATGGCTCTGAACACTGGGTTTGGGAAACTGGTTAAATATTTTTCTGACAAATGTTAGGTACCATTTGTTCAAGCTTGTTTGGTGAGTGAGTGAGTTATGCCTGATTAAACTCACACAGCTCTCTATCCAACAGCCATATAAAATGGTGTTCAAGAGAGTAAATAACTCTTTGTAGGGTGCACAGACCTGACTCAATCTAAAATCTGTTGACGAGAACACAGTGACTTAATGTGGATTTAAGTGGTGTTTAACTAAAGATAGCTCAGGATCCAAGTATAACAGCCCATTTTTAATCAGTAAAAAAAACCAAGTCATTATTTGAATAACTTGCCTGTAACCCGCTTGGTTTATGTAACCAACTCAGTTTAACAATTTGCATAAATTTGTCTTTTCTTCTGTGTGGTCATTTAAAAAACAATACCCCAGGGCAGAATTTCTGTGTCTTCTTTGCATTTTGAAGATTTATGTCTTTTTAATGGCCTTGAGCTAAATACTTAAGCCTAATTTTCACACAATGGCAGCTGTTCCTGAGAGTCTCACCCTGAAATTATCTGAGTTAAAAAAGTTAAACCTGTTTTTCAGGAGTGCTTTGAGAGCTGCAGGGATTTCTCACAACTGGCGCTACAGGTGCTCAATGTGTTCAGGAAGCATCGAGAAGCTGTGACCCCCTTTTAATTGAAAACATTTTTCTTAAGGAGTACATACTTCTCTGAATTCCTTCAATGATTTTAGGTCCTTATAATTGCATGGGTTTAATTTTTGCAACAGATTTAAAACTGGATTTATTTCAGGAATACTCTATTTTAATAATATTCTTTTAATAACTATGAAAAATGGTCCCAAATTTGGAACTTGAATTTTTCTCTATTTATCAAAACATCTTTTGAAATTTATCAAC